ATGGTTGCGCCGAGCGACGAGATAGGAGCCTGCCGGTCTCTGGGCGATCAGACACGGGGGGGCTGCTCGGAAGAGGAGCAGACTGCACCTGAGTCGGGCATGTCCTCCTACAGGCGGATGCCGGAGGACAAATAAAACATGGTCAAAGCATGCTCAAGCATTGCCTAACTTTGTTGAAATCTCGTCCCCAGACATCTTCTGACTGTCTTTGAATTGAGCAGAGACCGACCGTCCCGGCATTCCTATAGTCCTACCACGACATGTTCTTAGAACCCAAAAATGTTCTAAGAGCACAACACTTCTCTCAGAACATAAACCCGATGTGCTAAACCAAGACAGCCCCAACCAGGAATGTTCTAAGAACATTTCTTAGGAACCACAAAAGGTTCTTAGAACATTGTTTGGGGTTCGGTCGGGCGTGTCCCCTAGAGGCGGATTTGGGAGACATGCTCAAACAATACTCCAACATACTACGACAAGATTCTTCCCCGACCATGTGTTGACTGTTTCTGAACATTCCTCCTGCAGAGGGACAGGCCCGACTTGACTCCAGGGGGGCAGCGCGAGCAGCGTCGCCCCGAGGGGGTGTGGGGAGGTGGGTCTGCGGGCGCGGGCCCCCGAAGGTTCTCGCGCGAGCATCTTCTGCACCCGGCCCGACGGCACAGCCACCGGCGTACCAACCGTGAGCGCAATGCGCGACACGAGGCGACGCACGCGAAAGCACACCGGAAGGAACACTGGATGACGCAGCGGAGGAGCAGGCGCACGCAGCATGCGGACACGCCATCCTCAAGTGCCATCCGACAGCGCAGGTACCAACAACGCGTAAAAATCCGCGACCGTGCCGAGAGACACTGTGTGCATTGTCCACTGGTCCCTTGAAATCCCCTGTGTTGCGTAACGTAAGAACTCACGAAGGGCCTGGTTCTGCAAGTCACGGATCTCTTGGGGCTCATCGCGGGACTGCTGTGGCGCCCCGCGTGTCCTTTGCAGAGGCCTCGAAGGCGAGACGGGGCTTGGGGTCCATATTTCCCACCTGTCCTTAGCCTCAATGTGGCCGTCCAAGGACTCTCTCGGGAAATGTTGGCCCCTCTTGAAAGACTGAAAACAAACACAATATCCCCCCAGGAAAGCCCCCAAAGGGCCCCTGAACCCCCCAAGGAGGGCCAAGTAGGCTCCCAGGAGGCTCTTAATAAAAGGCAAGGAGGGGAAGCCGAAAGGGCTCTCGGTGGGCTCGATCACAAAGTGGCCCGTCAGACCGCCTCTAAACCACTAAGACACTCCCAATCAAATCTCATAGGCCTCCAATCGGTTCCAAGAGGGCCCCAAGGCTCCGCAAACAGGACAGCGATATACCCCAACAAGGTTCACAAGATACCCCAAACAACCTCTCATGAACCTCTTGTCCACGTCCCGATCACGGTGTCGGGACGGGACGCATGGAGCTGTGGATCTCACACACGGGACATGCTGGACGAACAAACATCATACAAATATGGCGTACGCAACTCGCATAATCACACACGCATGGCAATCGCACGCAATTGATGCTCGCAATGCGCATGAATGAACATAGATGCGTACGTTCAATGTACCACAAACACACACACACACACGCGAACATACCACCCATACGCAATCATGTAGCACATCACGGTGGAACCGCACACGACACTTACTTCGAAATCATTCGAATCAACTCTTTGATGGGGAGCGCCCGGAATGAAACGACGCACCCAAGCGGTGCTTGTATTTTAGGGTTCGTACTTCGGTCGATAGATAAGAAATTGGGGGGTACTATCGCAATGGGACGGAGAGCCCCCCACCGGGAAATCGGTTTCAGTTTCGTGTTCGTGTCGGGCGTGGTGGCCGGGGGTGTCCCGCCTCGGTATCGATGGTAAAATCGATAGTGAGATCGATAATGACATCGCTGGAATGGAATGGATAGTGAAATCAAAAGTGTGATTGATAGTGATATTGATTGTGACATTTGCTGTGAGATAGAACGTGGAGGCGATGGTGACATTACATCGCAACGCAACAGCGTCATCATAGATAACTCGAGGGCGTGTCGCCAGCATCGCCATCAACACACCCATCTCATTTGCCAGGAGTTGGTTCTTTCCCCCCCACCCCCGAATATCCTGATCACCAGAAGGGTGGTCGTATAGATAATCCCATCAACCCTCTGGGCGTAGATGATTTAACGAGTTTCGTCTTCATTTCTGTCAAAAATCAATACAACACGCACTCAGCCTCCAAATTCAGAGCATACGCAACCATCCCGATGCGGCCGCCCCCCACCATCCCTATCAAAAACAAAGCAACATACACTTTTGGGCAAACTCTGGAGTCATGATCGTGAGGCCCGCGAATACTTCGTATTGTTTTTTGACAGGGACGGCGGGGGTGTCAGGATATTGACTGCTGTGCGCAAGGCTACCATCCCTGACACAATACAATCCAAAATGCACCTCGCGGCTAAATCTGGATCATGCGCGGCCACCCCGCGAACATTGTCAAGTGATTTTTGACAGGGACGGCGGGGGTGGTGGCGCGTGGGAGGAGAAATAGGATGGCGGAATACTGTGAGGCGCTGGACCCCGCCCCCTGGAGCGCACTGGCCAGGGGCGGCGAGGCGCAGCCAGGGGGGCCCAGCGCCGATCCAAGAAATCCGCCCAGACTTAGAACATGTGGGATTATTTAGTTCTTGGGTGTTCGAAGTCTTGGGTTACTACTTCGAAGGGATACAATTCTCCCGGTTCTCGACGCAATTGTGATCGTGGCGGGCACGGCCAACTGCGATCATGATCCTGAGATGTTTGTTGTTCGCCCTCTCCTCCAATCCATCCTCCTTTCCTCCCTCCCTGGTCTCTCTGGGCCGAGCGATAAGGGAGCATAGCAGAGGCGGGTAAACGAGTCAACTTACGCAGATGATTGCTCTGGCGCCTCCCGGCGCCAGAAGCTCCAATCTGTCGAGGCAAGCGCTCGGCGGCGGAGCCGAAACCGGCCGTGCGCAGCAGATCTCACACCCTCCCCCTTTCCCTGACTGCCTACCAGACCACTCCAACCTAACCCGAAGACCTAAATTTCGGGTTCGGGGAGGGGGGGAACGGGTTCCACACGTGCGTGCTTGCCCAATGTTCCCCGACCCCCCCCCCACACTGGAAATGGAGGGTCAATTTGGGCCTTCGGGTTGGGTTCGGGCGGTCTGGTGGGTGGTAATTCCCTATCCCCCCCTTTCGTGCGACCCGAAGTCTTCGGTTCACAGCTCGGGTCTCTTTGGGGATCCCCCAAACCGTGTGGTGACAAACCGTGCTATGACCTCGGAACCCCCAAGAGGCCTCACCGCACGGTCCGTCACCGCACGGCCTCGGGACCCTGGAGGCCCCTGTCGCCCGAGACATCCTCGGAGAGGGACTCGAGCCCCAAAGCCATGCGGTGACGCCGAATCCCCACCGACTCACCACGCGGTGTGGCCACCACCCCGTCTGGGGGCCCCCGATCTCTGGCGGCCGCTCGGGACGATGTCTGCACTGCCGGAGCGCCCTCGCCGAGGGCGCCGCTGCTGGCAGCCACCTCGAGGCTGGAACACCGCCGCGACAGAGACGTGCAAAAACCTGGACCCCCCTTGCTCGACTAGAGGAGGAGGAGGAGGAGGAGGAGGAGGAGGAGGAGGAGGAGAAGGAGGAGGAGGGGGAGGAGGACAAGCTAGGTGCGCTCGCGTCAACATCTGACATCCTACCCCTCCCTCCCATCCCTTACCATGGCGCTGATTTTCTCTATCCGCGGACGCGTGTCGTAGCGGACCTGTGGCTCCGCGCGCGTGTGCGTAGTGGGTGGTGGTGCGCGTGCGTGCGTGCGTGTGTGCGTGGTTGTGGTTGTTGTGGTGGTGGTGTGTATGTGTGTGTGTGTGTGCGTGTGTGCGCGTGTGCTGTGGTGTGACGTGGTGTGGCGTCTTGGTGGTTTGGTGGTGGGCCAGGTGCGTACGTGCGTGATGGCGGTGGTGGTGGTGGTGGCGGTGGTGGTGTGTGTGTGTGTGTGTGTGTGTGTGTGTGTGTGTGTGTGTGCGTGTGTGCGTGCGTGCGTGCGTGCGTGTGTGTGCGTGCGTGCGTGCGTGCGTGCGTGCGTGCGTGCGTGCGTGTGTGTGTGTGTGTGTGCGCGTGTGATGTGGTGTGACGCGGTGTAGCGTGGTGGTGGTGGGTGGGGTAGTGCGGTGGTGGTGGCGGTGCGCGGTGGTGGTGCGCATGCGTGCGTGCGTGCGTTGGTGGGTGGAAGTGGCGGTGGGAGTGCGTGCGGCGGGGCGGGGCGTGGTGCGGCGCGGTGGTGGCGGGCGGATGGGCGCGGGAAAAAGACGCCCGCGCTGGGGCGAGAACGCCATCCTGAACGACGGAGGCAAAACACCGATCCGAAAATGAGGCCCAGGGAGGAGGAGGAGCAGGAGGAGGAGCAGGAGGAGGAGGAGGAGGGGAAGGAGGAGGGGGAGGAGGAGGAGGAGGAGGCGGAGGAGGAAGAGGAGGAGGAGGAGGCCTCCCAGATGGGGTCCGAGTAGATGGTGTCGGAGGATCTCGCCGCATCGCCGAGACATCGCCGATGCATCGCCGATGCATCAGCGATGCATCGGCGACGCACTGGCGACGCACTGGCGACGTCGGCGATGCATCGGCGACGTCGGCGTGGAGAAAATTGGGCTCCACATCGAGCCGCATCACCGATGCATCGCCGTTGCATCGGCGATGCGACACGATGCCATCTAGGAGGCCTAGATCGACCCAATCCCTCGTGAGGTGATCCTGCTGGCATATCTGTGGGCAAGTCTCCTCCTCTGCACGTCCGATGCTGTGATTTCTTCAAGTGTGACGCCCGCTCTCATCACTTGAGCGCGTCCTGGGGCATGCCAGCACCCGCCGAGTGGGCCCCTGAACCGAAGCGGACCTGCAGCGCACGATATGCTCAACAACATGGCCCCAACGATTGGCCGCGCAGCGCACGGGGCCGGCCTGCTCCGCGGAGCGCATGCACACGCGCGGGTCGTAGTACTTCTTGTTGGGCTTGTCGGGCCCGTCCGGGTTGCCGATCTGCGACTGCAGGTAGGGCTTGTACTTGGCCTTCCGGGGGTGGATGACCTCCTCCCTCCCCCTCCACCCCGATCTTCCTCATCCTCCTCTTCCCACAGATGCCGGCACCTGCACGCAGTCCAGTTGGACCATCTAGGCGCAATTCGAACTTATTCCCAGCCAGACTGTGATCGCAAGAATATGTATCCAGGGTGGGGTATAAGGGCCAAGTGTATGTATCTGTGCATACACACATCTATCTATCTATCTATCTATCTATCTATCTATCTATCTATCTATCTATCTATATATAAGAGGTGCCCTTCCGACGACATGTAGAGTCAAACCGCATGATAACCTATACAGCCTCCCTCTCGCGTCTGGAAACTATTTCTCGCCATCGGAGGGATATGGCCGACATAGTCTCCCAAGCCTCGGCTCAAGAGAGGGAGGGGCGGCCTGGCTGAAGTCCAGGTCTAGAGACGGCGAGCACACATTTTCAACTTCTCAATTCTCAGTTGCATCCTGGCTCTCATACAGGCACGAGACCCAGAACACATAGGCTTATCACAGAGGAGAAGGAGGAGGATAATCGAGAAGGAGGAGGAGGAGGAGGAGGAAGAGAAGGAGGAGAAAGAGGGGAGGAAGAGGAGGATAGTCCGACCCCGACCCCTCAGAGCCATCCCATACCAAACGAGAGAGAGAGAGAGAGAGCGGCTCGGGCGGGGGCCTCACATGATCAGACGTTCGCGCCTGGGAATTCACCCTTGACCAACTTGGCGCCGCTCACTGACCCAAGAGCTTCCTCCTTCCTCCTCCGCCTCCTCCTCCTCCTCCTCCTCTTCTTCCTCCTCCTCCTCCTCATCATCATCATCCCCCTCCTCTTCCTCCTCCTCCTCCTCCTCACTGGCTCAAGCGGCGCTGGAGACAGCGGCCCGAGAGCTTGGGCCCACATGTCGTCGAGGGGAAGCCTCCGAATCGTGTGCACTATTTTTTCTGGATGTCGGGACCGATACCCAGGTTACACGGAGGGCGTGTCGCCTGTCAAATTATTACGAGACCGACTTCAGGAAGGCGGGGTTAGATCCTCTGCACCACCCGCGGGACTCTGGACCCACGCGCCGAAGGCATTTCATGCAACGCCACGTGGAAACACGGCTCCACCAAACAACTGCGTGGGAGGGCGGGGGGGGGGCGCAGGTCGTGGCCGTCGCTGGACGGCTTCGGTGCAACTGCCACCTACCTTTGCCTGCAGAGTGGGCCAAGCTGCCGACATTGTGCCTATGCCTCGATGCAGTCTCGAATACGCAGAGAGGTGGAACGCATGATTCAATCGGCATCCTCGTTCGTTGGGGTATTCTCTCCCGTTCGCAGCAATACTGGCGCAGTGTTCTGCAAGGCGAGTAACCCTCGAACCACACGGCGCCTGCCTCATCTACAGCTTCATCGTCGCGCCTAGGAACTTTCCCATGGACACGCACCACCACCCTCTCAGGACCTGTCACCACAGACACAGCACGCCAGAAATGGCTCTGGGGGCACTTGGAGCCAGATTTGCGCACACAAGACTCTAGCAGAACTTTGCAATCGACCTGGAGATCCGGGCTCTGGAGCCCATCCTCAGAAAAGAAGACAGTAGCCAACACACCTGCCGCGTGTTCGGCCGAGACGACCGTCTGTGACTGAGAGCAGGGAGGCCATTCCTCCTCCTCCGAGGCAGCAGCGATGGCGATGGCGGTGGCGATGGCGACGCGGAGGGATGAGGAGGAGCAGGAGGAGGAGCAGGGGGATGAGGAGGACGAGAAGGACGAGAAGGACGAGGAGGAGGAGGAGGAGGAGGAGGAGGAGGAGGAGGAGGAGGAGGAGGAGGGGGAGGGGGAGGGGGAGGCGGATGAGGAAGGAGGAGTAGGAAAACGGAGGAGGAAAACCGAGGAGGAAAACGGAGGAGGAAGAGGAACACCGAGGAGGAAAACGGAGGAGGAAGAGGAACACCGAGGAGGAAAACGGAGGAGGAGGAGGCGGAGGAGGAGGAGATGCAGGAGGAGGAGGAGGAGGAGGAGGAGGAGGATGACGGAGTAGGAGAGAGGAGGGAGGAAGAGGAGGAGGAGGAGGAGGAGGAGGAGGAGGAGGAGGAGGAGGAGAAGGAGAAGGAGGGGAGGAGGAGGGAGGAGGAGGAGGAGGAGGAGGAGGAGGAGGAGGAGGAGGAGAAGGACCAGGAACCCTTCCTCCGCCATTTCAGCAACAAGGCAGCCTTCAGGGGCCGGCGTCCACACACGCCGAGGGTAGGCACAGCTCCCATCTGAGAACAAGAGGGCGTCGGGAGAGAAGGTTAAATCAGAGGCCTCCCAGATGGGGCCCGAGTAGACGGGCTCGGAGGATCGCGCCGCATCGGCGATGCATCGCCGAAGCATCGGCCGCGTCGGCGATGCATTGGCGATGCATCGGCGCCGTCGGCGTGGAGAACATCGGGCTGCACATCGAGCCGCATCGGCGATGCATCGGCGATGCGGCGCGATCCTCTGAACCGAAGTATTAGGACCTCATCTGGGAGGCCTATATAAATGCCTCGCAAGATTGTGCGAGCTCATCGAAAATATGTGCCAGGCGACTTCGGGTCGCGACACGTCCAGCATCGCCAAGTTTCCCTGCTCACTCGCGCCAGGCTTGCCCACCAAACCCGCGATTACCTCCTAGGCCTGGATGCAACGCCCGTGACACGACCAACTTTAAGCCAGCCGTAAGCACCATGGCGGGAGCCGCACTCGCTGTACCCTCCGCCTCCTCCCCCCC